CCAATGGGTCACCTTCCCATACAGAATCTGAGGGTGTTAGAGGCCAAACCCATATTTCCTCAAACAGAATTTGAAGGTAGCTTTTAAAATATTTTTAGATACCGTAAACTAAAAATAGAAAACAAAAAGTCAGTTTTGTCTCAAGTGTGAAATTTTTGGTGTGTGGCTTACAAGAAATTAGCTTCGGTTTCATTTATTAGTCTTTACTTTCTCTGGCAGAGGGACAGGAAGAGCAGGGCCAGTGAGCAGAGGAAAAGGAGTGCGGGGTCTCCTGCTATCATCCTGTGCAAACCTCTCTGCCCCTCTGGTCAGAACTGTGTGTGTGTGGTATGAGGGAATTGCTTGAAGTCATCTCCAAATCACTTTCCGGTTTTAAAGGAATGATTCTGCGATTTTCACATTGCGTTTTGGTTCTTGGAGTAATCAATCGTAAAGCCGATGCCGGTGAAAATTTTCTTGGGTCAGATTTTAATTAAGTCTGGTACATTGCACCTTCCTCAAATAGAGGGCAAACGTCCTTCCGTTCTGCTTGCCCTCCCATCCTTTGCTCCATGTGGCCATCCCATGAACCTGATGCAGACACCCCTCCTGATTATTACAAAACCCTGTGGCTGGCTGTGTCAGCCCAGGTTGAAATGGACTCTAAAAATAGCTGCAGCGGGGGTTTTCTTTCTCAGTCTTCGTGTTGTCGTGGAGTGTAGTGTCTATGCAGAGTTCCAGTCATCTTCCCTAGGACTTAAAAAATACTTTGTAGACCTGTTCCCTGCCCAGCTCCTGCTGCAGAGGGCCTTCCTGCGACACCTGCGGGCTGGGCTGTCTGTGTGTGGGAGGGGGTGGACTGAGGGAGGCACGGTGTTCTGGGCCATTCGGAGGGCTCAGGCCTTTACAAGCAGGGCTTTGATTCTATTTTTTGCTGAACTAGCTCAGCCACTTCCTGTGTTTGGCTGCGCATAGTGCCTCGCTTCACTGTGGCCACTTGAGCCCGGCGAGCCAGGGAGCGCGCTGCCGCAGCCAGTCAGAGAGACTATTTTAGGTCCCCGCACAATGGCCTTCTCATTTCCTCGGCGAAAATGAGCGAGTTGGGCTGGCATTGGCCACTTGTTAGCAGATGACAACTTTGACTTTGACTCGGGCTCTCTCTCCTCCCCTCCCCGAAATCCCTGGCTCAGCAAATATTTGAACCTGCCCAAGTTAATCATGAAGCCGCGATCTTTATCTGAGAGAGCCGTGCGAGCGCCGGTGCCTTTTCCCTCCGGGGGCCGGTCCCCACGTCCAGCCGCTGCTTTCTCCGAGGGGAGCCGGTGAGGGTGCAGCGGGCGTGATCCTCCTCCGGTCCCCGGGGGTCCTGCGTGCTGGCAGCCGCACCGCCTGCCTGGGAGCCGAGGGGGGAGCCGCGGGGGCTGGTCCTGCTGCTGCTGCTGCTGCTGCTGGAAGAATAGCTTTTTGGATTTTTTTTTTCATTGTCGGATTACAGGCATTCAAAGAGAAACCGTTGAAATGCATAACCTGCAAAGTAAGTTGCTTTTCATTTGTGCACTTCTCTGCCACTTCGCTGTTGCATTAGGGTTTTTTTTTTGTCTGTTTTTTTGTTTTTATTTTTTTATTGTGGTTTTTTTTTTTTTTTTGTAGTTCTGTGTAAGGTTCCTGTGTGAGTGAGAGAGAGAGAGAGAGAGAGAGAGAGAGAGAGAGAGAGATTAAGCACTCCCTGGGGAGGGCAGATGGCAGATTAGGGAGGTAGTCCTTTCCTGGAGGGGCACAGGGAAGGGAAGGTGGGGTGTGGGTTGGAAGTGGGGAAGGACGTAATTACACAGTGCCAGGCTAGGAACTGGTGCCTGGCCAGGCCAAGAGAGACATGGAAAATCACCTGTCTCCCTGCTCCCCGTGCCTCCCCGGCTCCCTGTGCAGCCCTAGTGTCTCCTTTCCTTTGGGGGGAGCGGGGGTGCCAATACTTTTATTAAACTGAGAGATTCCTTCCTGAATCTCATTTGAGGAACCCCCCCCCCCACCACCACCACCACCACTTTGACTTGAGTTTAGGTTTACTTAAGCTCTCGGGCAAATAGAAAAGTGAGCAGGAGGGTTAGGGCTGAGTCTGCCTTCATGGTTAGTGAGAAGATGAATTAGACTGGAGAGAGGACTCCAGTGAACAGTGCTCAGAGAACGGCCTGTCTTTGCTCTGCTCTTTCATATAGTTCAAGATTCCGAAGTTGATAGAATGTCCAAGAGTAAATTTTTAGGACTTTCTGTGCTCTTCGGTCATCACACAAATACTGTGTAGACCACAAAGCCCACTATAGTTTTTTAAATCAGCCACATTTACATGCCCCCCCCCCTCCCTTCCCTCTCATCCTATTGCAAAGAGGGACCGTTTCTTGAGGGGAATGCACCTTAGGCTCAGTAAGAGCAGCAGGATTATATAGAGAACAGCTTTAAAGAAAAAAAAGTTAATAATTAGGCTTATGGAGGAATTGATTTCTTTACATTAAGTACTGCTCATAAGGAATAGTAATATTCCTCCCTGGTGTGAGGCATTTGAGATAGAGTCTGAGATAAAAGCCTCTCCCCCCCACCTCTACCCCCCTCCAAAAAAAAAGTGATTACATCATCCCCACACCCACCCAAGCAGTATTAACACAGTAAACCCCAGGAGGGGTTCACTGGTGAGAAATACTTTGCCAAGACAGCTCTCCCCCTCTGCATTCTGACATATGTGGCCCCTTTCTATTCGGAAGACAGCTCACCTTGACCAGTCTTGTTAGGCAGTAGCATTAAAATTCTCATTAGTTATGTTGACAGTTGTGTTGATTGTTTCTGCCAACAGACCTCTTAGTTCTTGTTAAGAATTTCCAGTGTTAGTCCATCAAGTATAGTTTTGAATTTGCAGTGTTTGGTCGAGGAGAGGTTGCCTGTGTGTTTCCCTGTACTTGTGCTTTCCAATGTGGTACACTGGTGACAGTGCTTAAGTTTTTATGTAGGACTGAAATTAAATATTCAGAGTCCTTTCTGCTTTTAACATAGATGGGAGGTATTTAAGGGCTGTAAAACATACCTCAAATATACCTTTTTCATGCCTCTGTAAGATTTTCAAGCCAAGGAATGATCGGGCTATCTAAAAACCCAGATGCACTAGGGGGAAAAAAGCTACGTGCTGCAGCATATCAGCTTTTGTCAACCTGCCAAGAGCGGAGCGTACCAAGCTGCAAGGAGTAATAAAAAGGGAATTAGAAAACTCACTGCTGGAGGAGAACAGTCAAATTAAACAGCTTTTGGAAACGATGAGCATGTATACGTTGCAGTTCTATTAAATGTAGCTTAGCCGAGGCTGGGGCTGTGCTGAGGCTGATACAGAAGAGAGATGATGAAGCAGGAGTGGTCTGGTGACATTTTTCTGACTTGATTGGCTGGGCTGTGTGATGTAATAGGTTACAGTGCAGCCCCTTATAGGTTTTAAAATGAATTCCAAGGCACCATTACAAAGAAAGCCGGACTCTTTTCTCATAACTGAGCTCAGCCAAGGGAACTCTCGCACAAATGTACAACACTGTTTGGAATATGGAAGACCTGGATTTAGAATATGCTAAGACAGATATAAATTGTGGCACAGACTTGATGTTTTATATAGAAATGGATCCACCAGGTAATACTGCAGTATCCTTGTAGAAAGCTAGTTAATTTTGTGGCTTTTTTTTTTTTTTTAAACTTCTGTAACATAGTCTCTTTAGATTTCTATTCTATTTTTATTAATTTGTTCTAATTTAATAACAGTTCATTTAGTCATAGCCTGTGGAAGCAGGCAGATCAGATTGTATGTGATAAATGCTTCTTCTGATTTGAATGGATATGAAAGGAATGCCCATTTTTCACTGGTGTCTTTTGTTAAGATCTTTTGCTATTTGGGTTGTATTGTTGTATAGCATTCCTGTAATTGAATTGATGTCTCCTTTGTGCTGCTTTTCTCTGTTGTCACTGGAGGGGGACAGTATGATACATGTGGGGATGGCACTTGGTACTTGAGAAAGCATGTAAAATGTAGCAATGATTGCAACTCGGTTCTAAAGGTGACCGGAAACTATTCTAAATCAAATTTTGAGATGCTGCCTCCTGTCTCTTATATTAGGATACTATAAAAAGAAGTTGGCTCTCCATTCCTTAATACTTGTCTTTATCACATAAAGTCTTGATAGACTCTGAAATAATTTTATATAAATTAAAATAGTAACTGTGCTTTAAAACTTATGACTTAGAATTTAACTTAAAAAAATCCTAGATTTATTCTGCTTTCTAAATTATGTTATCCCTATGCTATTAGCCCATTTCCCAATTAAGAGATTTCAGAAATAGCACCATTTGTCACCAATTGGTATATGAATACTGATTTGACATTGAGAAAGAGGAATATAGTTTTTAATCAGTCGGCATATAGAGCACAATTTCTCCAATAAAATATTAACACTAAAGAGACTTAGGTCGCAGATGAGTTTCTTAAAGTGGCTTCTGGCAGAACAGTGCTGGAAACACTGATTCTCCTCTGGCTGTGGATGAGCCTCTTTACCTCACCAGCATGTGTGGAGGGCAGAAGCCGAATTTGCCTCTCATAATTAAACAGGAGGAAATTAAAGCCAGCCCATGTGATTCCTCCTGCTCACTGTGCATGGCTTCTGACTTCAGCTGGATCTGACCAGGCATGAAACTTTAATATAACTAGGACCTAGCTAGAAGCAGAAAATGGCATAACTCCGGATTTACTCTGAAATCCACATTTATTCATCGCCTAGCTGTTTTCTTTTTCGGTTTCTTTTCTCTTTACGTTGTACTCTGGGAGATTTCTGATTTTTTTTTTTTTTTTTTTTTAAGAAAACAATCTTGCATGTTTCATGGAATTCTGAATTATTGCTGTGTGTCACACTTTACTTTCATCTAAAGAAATTAGGTCTGTTTTAAAATGTTTCATTGTAGTTTGGGGTTGCAAACAACTTTTTTCCTTTCTCCTTAATGTACAGCACTGCCTCCTAAACCACCAAAACCTACTACTGTGGCCAACAACGGTATGAATAACAATATGTCCTTACAAGATGCTGAGTGGTACTGGGGAGATATCTCGAGGTAAGCCCACAGAAATGCTTAGTTTTTTCAGGAGAGATAGAGGGGGAGTGGAGGGTAAGAGAAAGAAAAGCGCCCGCTCGCTAAGTTTCACTTTTAGGATATCATCCAATATAAGCATTGAAGCATACTGGATTCCCTTCCAAAGGCTACCAGAGGAGTCCTGAGCCGCCCGAGGGCTGTGGGTGCTGGTGCCACCGGAAATTACACACCGAGAAGTTTGATTATTGGCAGATGTCAGGGAGGCACCGGGGCGAGTGGCACTGCCCAGGGCAGCGTGCAGGCACGCCTGTCACGCAGGACTCTAAGAAGTCATACGATTATCTCACACACAAAAAATAAAGCGGCAGTTTTATTCTTAGCTTTTTTTTTTTTTTTTTTAAAGGGGGGTGGTGGGGCGGAAACCTTTTGGCGATCATGACTTGCTTGCTGATTTGTTAGCATCTTTGGTTAGAAAATAAAAACGTTTACCAGAGTTATACAGATAGTGAAAGTAGGTTTTGTTTTTTGTGGTGGTGTTTTTTTTTTTTTTAACTCCCATGCACCTGTTTATAATGAGATGGAGTTTGTAATATTTTTTATATAAACAAAGAATAAATTGTTAAGTTTTGAAAATGGTAATAAGCATAAACCTATAGAGGCAGGGTGTTAGAGGCTTTTTCTGTACTTCCTGCTCAATTTTGCTGTGAACATAAAATTGCTCTAAAAATTAAGTCTATTTAGATAATCACTAAATTCTCGAGCTAAGCACCATCTTGTGTTCTTTTCACATCAGGGAGGAAGTGAATGAAAAACTTCGAGATACAGCCGACGGAACCTTTTTGGTACGAGATGCATCTACTAAAATGCATGGAGATTATACTCTTACACTAAGGTGAGTCAAAGAATGGAGGTAAACGCGAGGTGGTTCAAGTTGATGTTAAAACACACTTCTGAAAAGGAAATTGTATGCCATTATATTTGTATTGTATTTACAGGAAAGGAGGAAATAACAAATTAATCAAAATATTTCACCGAGATGGGAAATACGGCTTCTCGGACCCATTAACCTTCAACTCTGTGGTTGAATTAATAAACCACTACCGGAATGAATCTCTAGCTCAGTACAATCCCAAGCTGGATGTGAAGTTACTTTACCCAGTATCCAAATACCAACAGGTAATCAAATGCCCACATTGTAAATGTTATTTAAATAAGGTACTTTCAATGCTTAGAAACACTTTGAAGCAGATGAATTGCATGTAATGAAAGTTGAAAATCTTTATACTTGTAATCACAAAAATAAAATTTCAGAGTAGTTCAATAAAACACTCCAAGGATTTTTCCACGTCAGATATTTGGTTAAATAGTTCTTAAATTGATTACATACCTTATCAATTGAATTGCTTTTTCTTCTGCTCTCTAATCCTCCTAGGATCAAGTTGTCAAAGAAGATAATATCGAAGCTGTAGGAAAAAAATTACATGAATATAACACTCAATTTCAAGAAAAAAGTCGGGAATATGATAGATTATATGAGGACTATACCCGTACTTCCCAGGTGAGTTTTTGAAGCATTATTAAAACCTAACACCTTTTAGTCAGCTTCAAAAGCAGAATAAAAAAAGGTTGAGTTTTTACAGTACAGTGAGGTTGAGAGCTCACTTGTTTGTGAGTCCTTGTTGATTATTCTAGTTATTAATTCATTCTGTCTCTACTTGTAAATGAAGCCTGTAAGTAGCAGAGTAGAAAGTCTACAAGAGAAAGGAAGAGGATACTGGGAGTTTTAAGTTGATGTGACATAATTCTTGATTGAAGAATTATTTTTAGATTGGAAGTTCCACAGACTTGGCTAATATCAGAAATAGGGATTTAACCATTCCCTACTCTGCAGCAGAGAACAGAGGCACTGCCGCTGGAATGTTTTCCCAGAGCCTTAATCTCTGGGCCGGCATGTCGGGACCGGCAGGGGGAGTAGAGGGCAGCATGGATGGCATGAATTGCTGATAAAGTGGCATGACTTTAACCATGATGATAACTTAGGAGAAATGTCAGGTAGTCCTCTTCCATAGACTGGCATAATTCCCAAAGGAAGTGTGTGCTTTTTGTGATAGTGTTTTACTGGGTTCTACAGATTAGAGTCCCACCTTGCTAACAAAGCACTTACGTTCTGGATAATAATAATGGAAGTCTCTCACAATTAAGAAATCACCTGTTCTACGAAAGGTGTGACATGGTCTCACTGATATTGTGTTGCAGGAAATCCAAATGAAAAGAACAGCTATTGAAGCATTTAATGAAACCATAAAAATATTTGAAGAACAGTGCCAAACACAGGAGCGCTACAGTAAAGAGTACATAGAAAAGTTTAAACGTGAAGGCAATGAGAAAGAAATACAAAGGTTGGTCAGAAGAGTGTTCCTTTTGTCCTGCTAGGGATAACCAGAATATTCTTAAACTGCTTAAAAATGGTCTTGCTTTCTGTGCTGTGCATACTTAAAAAACAACAGGGAGAGAGGCATTCCTTGCCTGAGGAAAATGGCTGGGGGTTCCTAGGGAGCCTTCTCATAAGCTGGGGGGGAACCTTCATGACGAACTCCGGTGATCACAGACATGTTTCTCTCGCCTGCAGGATTATGCATAATTATGAGAAGTTAAAGTCTCGGATCAGCGAGATTGTGGACAGCAGAAGAAGACTGGAGGAAGACTTGAAGAAGCAGGCAGCTGAGTACCGGGAGATTGACAAGCGCATGAACAGCATTAAGCCTGACCTCATCCAACTGAGGAAGACGAGAGACCAGTACTTGATGTAAGCGGTGGGCACGGGACCCGCAGGGGAATGGCTGCCTGTGGCCAAAACGAAGGCTAAGTTCTGAATGCGTTTTCCCTCTGAAACTCTCTCCCAGGTGGCTGACTCAGAAAGGTGTTCGGCAGAAGAAGTTGAACGAGTGGCTGGGCAATGAAAACACTGAAGAGTAAGTCGTTACCACAGATGGAGGCAGCGGGAGATTTTTCTCATTTTAGGAAAACGCATGACTTGCCTTATTTAGAGAACAAGTGAGGAATTTTACCGAGTTTGGAACATCTTGTAGGAGAAAATGTATAAATTCTGTCTCATTATCCAGAATTCTTAAAAGGGAAAGTTTAGGGAGGGAAGATACAGATTCCACTCCCCTCCCCCCGTCATCCCAACACTGTGTCCACAGTGATGTCCCAACATATTTTGGGTACAATTTTTTAAAAAGAGCAGAATTAGGCTTAGTATATTTTTGAAGCTTCAGCATATGTTTTGTTTGAATTACTTGAAAGCTGGCACTCCTCCTAGACCATCGATTTCCTGATCTAAACTGGACAAACAGGATTGTTTAATACCTTTCTCTCTGCCCAAGTCCCTGAGCTTAATGCTGACTCTTTGTCCAGGGAAGTTACCTAGAAGGCTCCCCTCCCTGGATAAGAGGGAGGGCTGGTTGAGTCAGACCCGTGATCGCTGGTCTGGCCTGCTTGCAGGAGGGGCAGAACCGAAGTAGAAGAGGTGAGGGTAGGCTTGTGGCTCCATGAACCTCACTTAGAAACCTCCTCCCTTCCCTCCTCAGCCAATATTCGCTGGTGGAGGATGACGAGGATCTGCCCCACCATGACGAGAAGACCTGGAATGTCGGAAGCAGCAACCGAAACAAGGCCGAGAACCTGCTACGAGGGAAGCGAGACGGCACTTTCCTGGTCCGGGAAAGCAGCAAACAGGGCTGCTATGCCTGCTCTGTGGTGTATGTATCTCCCGCCCGCATCCCCTGCCTCCTGGAGGGAGGTGGACAGTTTTAACCTGGAAGAATCTCACGGCGCACAGTATAGAAGAGGGAATGAAACAGGCATACTATTTAAAGTCTGTCTATCAGTAGAGTCCAGTAAGAAACCTACCTGCTTTGTTTGTGTATCAATTCAAGAACTACTTTGTCTTTTTTTTAAAATGTAAATGGCAATGTTTGCCTCGAGGCCAGTATAGAATCTAAGGTAACTCACCTAAGAGCACCACGCACAGGTGAAAAGTCCCCATCAGGAACTGTCCTTGAGGTAAGGACACCCAGAAGACCTGTTTGTCCCCTGGCATATTTTCTCTCTGTTGATTTCCTAATAGTCCAGGGAGCACTTTGAATGGACAGTGAGTTTTTTGGGTCGCCGGCGTCATTTCATAGTGCGAGGCTCTAAAACAAGCATGTCAAACCCGTGGGCCACATGCCGTTTATCTGGCCCGTGTTGGAGTTTGACATGCTTGCTGTAGAAGCACATCCTACTCTGCAAGCTCGCTCATTTGCAGAGAAGTCCTATAGGAAGGAGGCAGGAGAAGACCTCTCTCTGAGGAAGGGCCAAGATGGAGAGACATGCAGACACTTGAAAGCCAGCCTGAGGGAAGGGATCCTATTAATAACCAGTCACACCTCTGGTCACACAGCGGTGCTGATGGTTGGCGGCTCCCACTTGTTGCGAGCTCACGGCATTCCAGGCATTCTACCAAGCACACCATGCACATCATCTCATTTCTCAAAGCCACCCGGTGACACACATTACTATCATGTTCCTCCGCAACCATTTTAAAGACGAAAATACAGCGGCTCTGTGAAGCTGGGGTCCGTACCCAAGCCACTCAGCCAGCACGTAGCTGGCAGAGCCTCGAGTCTGGCAGTTTCACCTGGAACTGCTGCCCACGGGGGGCCTGGCCTGTGTCAAGCGTACTTTTCAATGATGGTTTTGTTAAAAAAAAAAAAAAAAAAAAAAAAAAAAAAACGCCTAGCAGCATCCCGGGTTGTCCTGGCCGAGGTCACAATGTATTTGTTCTCTCTCTCTCCTCTCCAGGGTGGACGGCGAGGTAAAGCACTGTGTCATAAACAAAACGGCTACTGGCTACGGCTTCGCGGAGCCCTATAACCTGTACAGCTCCCTCAAAGAACTGGTGCTACATTACCAACACACCTCCCTCGTGCAGCACAACGACTCCCTCAACGTCACCCTAGCCTACCCGGTATATGCGCAGCAGAGGCGATGAAGCCGGCCGGTCCTCCTCCTGATGTTCAACCACCCGAGGCCTCTGGGAAGCACAGGGCTCCTCCAGCCTGACCTGTGAATTGAGCTGCGGAGACGGCGTCTTCGGATGGGACTGGGGCTTTCGACACACAGAAAGCAGTAGGGGAAGACACGCAGCCAGCACTGTGCGATGACCAGACGTTGCTAAATCTGGAGTGCTTATCCTTCCTTTCCTTTTTTTTTTTTTTTTTTTTTTTCCTTCTTTTTGATTTAATTTAAAAGCCACCACAACACAGAGAAAAATAAATGCAAAAATCTCTGCGTGCAGGGACAAAGAGGCCTTCACCATGGTGCTCGTTAATGCTTTCTGAAGCTTTACCAGCTCAAAGTTGGGACCTTGGAGACCGAGGCTGCACGGGGCGGTGGGGCCCTGGCCCGGGAGCGCTCGGTCCAGCCTGGTGTTGCTGTGCACGGTGGACGTGGACACTTCGCACTGTGGATTATCTCATTTCCTAACAACACGTGAACGATATGTAGCAGAAAGGCACTTCCACTCACAAGGGACACGTGGGGAGAACGTCGGCTCACATGCATTCAGAGGCAATTCTGTTGCAGCCAAGTGCCAGAAAGCGTTTTGTTTAAACTTTTCAACAAAACAAAACCGATCAATGGAAAAAAATGGAACTTGGAAAACAGGACTTCAAATGACATTTAGTATATAAAATATGTACATACTATCGGATGACTAACTATCAAATAGATGGATTTGTATCAATACCAAATAGCTTCTGTTTCGTTTTTGCTGAAGGCTAAATTCACAGCGCTATGCAATTCCTAATTCTCCTTAAGTTGTTATCTCAGTTTTAAATGTACGTTCAAAATAAGCTTCCCCTGCCCCCGTTTTTGTTGCTTGAAAATACTGTTGTTTCTGATTTTTGTGTTAATATTCATTTTGTGTATTCTTTTACTTTTTTTTTTTTTTTTAAAGAAGAAATGTACAGGATGCCAGTTTTTAAAAAAAGGCTTCAGAATTAAAACTATGAAATATTTTACAGTTTTTCTTGTACAGAGTACTTGGCTATTAGCCCAAGGTTAAAAAGTTCCTAACAGATTTTTGGACTAAATGTTTTGTTGGGCAGTGCCTGATAAGCTTCAAAGCTGCTTTATTCAATAAAAAAAAGAGAGATATATGAATATGACAAAAGTATCGCGGAGTTCGACAATGTTGTTTCAAAACTCTTAAAATACGGTACCTGGCAATGTTTGTTTCATAAAGAATTGTGAACTTCTTGAATCTGCGGAGGAGGGACTTAGCAAAAGGTTGTACAGGTGGGAGGGTGGTGGTGGAATGCACTTTCTCTTTCTCTTTCTCATGATTAGAGGAAAAAGTAGGTAACTGCAGAGGGAAGTTGCTTATACTTCAGGATCTCCCACTCTCATCTGCTAGTTATTACCAATTATGACAATTGCAAATCTGCTACGACCCTTAACAGTGCGGCTGGTCAGCTGTTCTGACCCTCGTTCGGAACACCGATTTCAAGGTTAAATTGCTACAACTTAGAACATGTCTCTTTTTTAACATTAGACTGCCGTTACAACCAACAAACATTCACTTTTGAGAAAGCATGAGAGAAGATTTTCATCTGGCTGTTTGTTATTTTCCTAGCTTCCCATTTCACATTTAGATCATAAAGCAAAGTGGCATGATGGTAACTGCTACTGCTCTGGGCTGTGTGGAGCTCGTTAAAGTCACCGCCATTTCAAGAATCCTAATAACAGTCCTTCCCATTCATCCAAATAATTGCATGTGTTATACTCCACTATGGGGAAAAGGAAGGAGTGTTGGAGTCATCTTTGCATTTTAGGGCATGAGTGAGAGGTCTCCCTGATTCACATAAGCAAAAAGCCTTTCTGTTCAGTGGAAATTGTGCATGTTTTGGGAGGTATTAAAGGATAATTATAACCATAGTCAACTACGCTGGTAGATTAAGGCGGACTCTTTAACAATTTCATATCTTTGTTTCTCTTTCCTTCAAATATTGGGGTGAGGAGGTTTGGTTATCTTAATGCTGTTCCTTTAAAAGTTCTTTTGAAAGGATCTGTCTAGCGGCTGACTTAATCAACTGTAGAATGTATTTTATTTTATTTTTTGTCCTTTTTTCATGAAGCTACTCATATCAAGAGCAATAGTCAGCCTTACAGCCAGACTGTCAGCCTGAGACTTGACTGTACCGATCTGACCACCTCCCTCTTATCTCCAGACAACCGACGATTCTCCTGGTTTGAGTCTGTGAGTGTCTGGTTTAAAACTATCCTTCCATGTCTCACAGAAGTTTAACAGTTAATAGTAGCTTGTAAACAAGCGTGGTTTTGTTTTTGTTTTGTTTTGGTAGCACATCCATGTATGCTATTAAGTATAAATAATTTTCATTTAATTCCTAAAATATAAGATCTGAAACGGAGTGTTTCATTAACAGTACATTTCATAAAGAGTTTTGTTAGCGTTTTTGCTTCAATGTTTTGCAAGATGACATGGTATCAGGCATCTGCCTTATTTTTGCGTCTCACAAGCACAAACAGTAGGTTTTCTTTGCACTGCAAAGGCAGGATTTCTCACTCCGTGTCACAGTGAGCTGCACATCTGTAATGTCACCCCTCTGCCAGGTGCCTTCTTGACTATGTGTAGCATGCCCACCACCTACGTCCTTCCAGATGTTTGACCAGCAGGGCTCTCTGGGTTTCTTCCGACAGTCACCCAACAGTGGCTCACAAGTATGACTGCGTGGCTAACAAAATGCTGAGACATTTTCTTAGCCAAGCATTGATTTCTCCCACCCAAGATAGCATCCTAGAAATAAAGCCAGGAACTAGGCTTCAGAGAGGCTATGACAGGGCTATAACAGTGTGGGAGCACTGGGACCTGACATGAGACACAAGAGAAATATAACCATAAGAAAAGGCAAAAAGCATGTATTTGCAACATCTGACAACTTCATGGCCCTTGATATATGTATATATGTATATGTGCATGGACTGTGTTTTCAGTACACCTTTCAGCCAAAACAGATCCACAGTCGAGTTCAAGTGCAAACAAGCCAATGTCTAGTACAGTTCTTGTATATGTGTATGGGTGGGTTTTTTGTTTTTTTCCTGTGATTTTGCTTTGTTTTGTCTTACAAAGGTGGAAATCGTTTGCAAGTGAAGTGAGAAGTTCATAATTCTTTGGCTTTTTTCTTTTTTCTGTGTTTAAAAGTTAACTCCTTTTGGGAAGCTGGTCTAGATGACTCAATTGGGAAATCCTTGTTTTCAATGTGTCAAGTCAAAATGTGTGTGTGTGAGCTGTCACTGTAGGGAACCTATTGCTCTGTCATGTAGCTGGTTATGAACTAGTGATGTGTTTGGGAAGTCCTACTGATGTTCCTTACTGGGAGAAAAATTCTGCTGGTTTTAACAACTGTGCTTTTGCTATGCATGGTATCCAAGTCAGCTGGAAAGCAGGCCCTGACATCTGAGTTCAGGGTCACTTAAGAAAGGGGCAGTTTAAAAGCACAATGCCTCACATGAGACAAAGTTCCAAAAATGCCAAATTCTTATTTTTTAAAACATCTAGTTATATAAAATACTAGTGCAAGTAGGGAGGGAACAGAATTGGAAACACTATCTAACTTAACATTAAACTTGTCACCATGAGATAGCATTAGCTACCCAGGATGCTGCTATTGAAAAAAAAAAAACAAAAACAAAAAGTCATTTATATGTGTGTATTTTTTAAAGCTATGGTCTTGTTCGATGTTTTTACAAATCTGTTTATATGACAATGTTCAAATAAAGTTGGTCTTTTTGACGAGAGGGAGGATGTGATGGTCTGTTGTAATTTTGCCTTTACAAGGCAACCTGGGTGGGGGACGGAGGGAGTGTGCCTCCTTGACACTTGGTTCAAGCTATAGGTTTAACGGAGCTGTGTCTTGTTTTAAGTTGCTGTAATGCATTGTATTAGGTCCTCAAACAGAATAAAGATTGTTTTGAAACTTATGTGATGGTTTGGAATTGCAATTACTGCCCAAGAAATATTTCTGAAGCCCCTCTCTTGCTCTTTCGGTTCATGGAAGTTGCTGTCCCTCTAGTCTCCCTCCCACTCCCTTTCATTCTGCCGCCTCACTTTTGTAAAGTGGGAAGGAAGGCCATGAAAGGCCGTCACATGAACGATGCTCAGTGTTCTTTACATAAGTACACTATGTCCTTAATGATGACATAACCTCTAGGTGATGCCACTCCAAGGCATGTTCTTGCCATAAGAAAATAGAAATGCCCCTCGTCCCTCAATCCCTCCACCATCCACCTCCAAACCTTCGGAATCGCTCTCTACAAACTATGGTTTGCTGAGGAGTTTTGGTGTGTCTGTCTCACAGGGGCAGCATGAGGCACTGAGCAGCATGCAGGGACATGGAGTTGTAGGCAGAGCCAAACACAACAGATTCAGGTTTCGCATTGTGGCATCTAGTCAATACAGATATTCTGATTCTGAAATAACGCCGATGTCACTTTCCTTGCTAAGTGAATTTATGACAATAAATGCCGCTTTGCTTGTACAGTATACACATTTCAACATCTGATAGCTCGATTTTGATAATGAAATGTATCTTAAGCGCTGTCTTAATAATTATTCAAAGTGTATGTATACATTTTGGGGGAACATCCTATATATATGTGGTGCTGACTTCCACTGTGGGCATAGTGAGAGCCCTGGAGATAAGACATGGTCCACCAATGGAGATGAGAGGCACTTAAGTAATTAGTCCTGATTCTCTGTGTTTGGCGGTAACTCAGAATCACTCTTCTCATGCTTTGTTCTGTACCCCAGATAACCATATTCCCAGGGTTTTGCCCTCTGGCTGCCAGGGAGTGCCTCTCCCACGTGGCTCCTGCTCTCAGACCCTTCTCTGGGGTCTGAGCAGCCTCACTCTGGGCTCTAAAAGCCTCTGGCTTTTGAGCTACAATATATAAAGCATATTCATATCATTC